TTTCATTAGGTATTAGTTTTATTTATTCATAAATATAAATTTTAATTTGGAAATTTCAATTACTGCTTTCCTACAACTACCTTATTGTTTGATTTTAAGTTGAATTTCATTATAAATAATCATTAAATGTATTAGAAGTAGAAAATGCTTCAGTTTTCTTCAGTGGTGCTTATTATTGATCGAACACCGGAATTCGTGATCTCATGATTAGTCTGTTGCTTTCCGATCAGTAAATGCAATCAGTTTATATACATTTTTGACTGAGTTTGTGATAAAATGTCACCTTAATTAAATATCTTTATTAATGCTTGTCTCAATCTCAGCACTGCTAAGCACATCATATTAACAGACGAAATTTCAGCGAGACTATAATTTATGGACCAACCAATCAGTTTTAGGATAACAGGTCTTGGATTTTGGTACAGAATTCATTCACCCATTCGGTTAAATAGCATCTTGGCATTTTAGCTGATGTCAGTTCGTGGTGAAAAACCATAAACCTAATTCCTAACCCTAACCATCAACTGCGAATCGTAATTATTATTCTTCAAACTGCTTTATAACCCCCATTCAGCCCTAGTGAATAGGTAGAAACTCTCAAAGTCACTTTGGCGTCGCTCAAAAGTCATCCATAAATTATAATCTTACTGAATTCTTCTGAGTTGTTTCTTAAAAAAGTAAACGCAAATATTAATCCTGACCTGCTAAAATTCAGAAAAATATACAGAATGTTATGGCTTGATTACTTCTTGTTACGTTTATTATAAGACCTAATGGTAATATTGATTCATAGTTGTCAAAAGATGCTGATCAATCTCAGTCATGAAGATCAATCCGAGGATGCAGGGACCTTTGAAAAGGAATTATACAATCTTATTTACGATTTATATTTTTCAGATGTTTATAGACATTATTAAAATGATTATTACCAGAAATTCTTTTATCATCATAGGAGGTTGTTGAGTTTCACCACGATCACCAACTGATCTAAGTTAGACAGCCGTTGAAACCCCGGAAGCACTGGACGGCTGTTTCATCTCAGAGCGGGACTTCTCAGCAATGTTCGCCTACAACCAGGCAACCGGGTATAAAACAGGACACCTTCAATCTTGCACCCGAATCCTTAACCTTCAGATCGCTGGACTTGGATCCACTGATGTAGTTGTTTAAATGCAATCAATTCACGATATAGAACAACTGTCTTTGATTGTCTGTTTTTCAGTCTTCGCATGTACATCGGTTTTTTAACCTCTTATTCACTAAATATTGATAGGTTTTGGTTAGCTTTCAATCAGATACAAACTGTTCATCATAGTGTATTAAATTCAGTGCAAAGATCCAATAGCCACTATTTTAAATCTAATTAATTCATTAGTAAAATGTATAAGAAAGACATTTCGTGCAGTCTTCTTAAGTGGTATGTGAGAATCAATGTAAGAAAATTAACTCACTCTATGCATGAGTACTGATCGACTCATTTGATTGATCAGTTAGTATGATCAGTTTCCAGAAAAGCATAATGAATCGCTCTTCGTCTTGACTACCTCGAGTAAGAACGGTGACGGACAGTTTCCTATGCACCTGGTTAAATGAAAACTTCCAACCCCACCTTAGCATATCTAATGAAAGTAGAAGCTATATCTATGGTACACATAATTGGTGACCTGTGCCTTCAAAATATTACCAGTGTATAGTAAATCCATACACTGTGAAATGCTTACAGATAAGTGGTATTTGTATTAATGAGGCGATAAATCATCATTTTAGGTGAATGAGATAAATGTTGAAAACGCTTAACCAGTGCTGACTGGATAAGTAGATTGGGCAAAGCCAAGTTGACTGGTCTATATGGTCAATAACAGCTAGACTGTATGTTATTGGGGACAGTAGGCTTCCTGTTTGTGCGCTGTACAAAAATTGAAGTCTGTGTTACCGGATGTCTGGTAAACTTATTGAAAACCATTGGTAATATCTCAGTTGCATTTATTTTTGTTATCCTTGTCTTACTCTTCAACTTAGTTATATCGCTTACTTTTCCTTCTTCAAGTGCATTTATTTTTCTAAAGGCATATTTCTTATGTATATCGAGTCAGGTTTTACCTCCTCTATAAATTTCTGAAGGGCAAACGTTGGATCCAAGCCAAATCAATGTACGTCTATCAATTTCGTTAATCTCGTAGAGCAAGTTTTACTGACCGCACAAACTAAGCTGTTTCTAAACGCGTCTATCTGGGTGTTGATTGAACTATACAAGTCGGTCAATACTTCAATCCTGAAACAGCTCGTCAATTCTTGTCACTCTGTTTCATGAGAATCCCCTTTTAAAATCATCTATACAGTCACCAGTACTAGTTCAGGACTTCAAATTAAAAAGTTACATTTACTAAAGGCTCTAACGCTCCACCAATTTAGGCCTAATCTTAAATCTTAAATTTCTCATTTCACCATGGTTTTAATTCTCATTTCTATCTTTCATTTTCAATTACCTGACATTTTTTATGCTTTTCTAGTTCTTTACAGTTATTACTTATCTATTATCGAGCAAACAATTATCACTCATGTACAGACTAGCATTAACTTATTAGCCACTGAATCATTACAAAACTTCATTGAAGTGTTCAATTTTCTTTGGAACAATTTCTGATGCAATACAACAATACAATTTCTGCTTATAATGCTTATGACTTAATGTCGAAGAAACCCACACAGGATGTACATATGTTAATAAGAAACTAATCAACTGCAGTCCTAAAAATCAATGGAAAGTTTCAAATAACCAATACAAAAATGAATTAATACAACCTTAGTTTTGGCAATATTTTTTAAATTACGCAACAGTTTTCTGTCTAATCAGTGGCTACTACATTTACAAGCGGTAAAATGACAATTGATGGCTCTCACACACTTTCCCGTAGCATTCTTTAACGCCTTTATCAAGGGACTGGCCATCAGAAACAACATAGAAGTTTATTTTATATCTTTCACCACATCTTAAATCACTTCTCTTGTGTTTACTCTTAATTGAGAAAAAAACAACTATTCTGCGAATTATTCTCTTTTTATGCCCATCTCCAAAAAATCTTAAATGATGACTCCATATTTAATTTCATTGGACAAAAGCTTTTGTCCAATCAGTTACAAAAAGGCACTTGTCAAAACACTGTTACACGGAACAGAAAGAATATGTTATGAATGTTAAAAAGTGTTTAAGGAATAACGAATACCCACTAAAATTTATTGAGAAAAGTGGAAAACGTGAAGATAAAAAACTCAAAGAAACTACAGCAAATAATGCCACAGGGTCAGTCAATATGAGACTAGAGACTGCATTGACAAGAACTTATCCTGAAGCTAAATTGATTGCCCTGTCCAGAAAAACATGTTCTTTGACACAATCAAAGGTCGACAGGTATCGCTTTCATGTTACCACTAACTGTGTATACAAATTTACATGTATCTGCCAAAGCAGTTACATTGGTGGAACAGAAAGAAGAGCCTACGTCCAATTCAAAGAACATATTCCGAAGAATTTAAGATCGAACGGACTAAAAGCATTCAGCAGTGCCATCGCAAGACATCTCCTTGACACAGGACACGAAGTCGATACACTGAAGTCCTTCAAGGTGATTAACAAACAATTAAACTCCAACCTTTTGAAATCTGCCTAAGCAATAGCAATCAGACGTCCAAAACCAGATCTACGTATACAAAAAGAGACAGTAATAAATCTTTCTTTGCCCTGGTAACATTACCCCCCCCGCTTTTATTTATTTATTCATTATGTCATTCATTATCCCAACTCTCTGAAGTTTAAAATTACATCATTCATAACTAACTGCTTTCAATTCATATCTTTCTTTATTATCAATAATCTCTTTTCAGTTACTTCATTACATAATCAGCGAATGTTTTTTTATTCCATGGGTTTTAATCACTATTTTAATGTTCAGGAACTTTCCTTCCTAAACCTTATTTATTAGGGACAAAATCCTTTATGAGCTTATTAACTCTGTCGGATTCTTCGCTACATCATGATATACATATTCATTCTTAATCACTCTCTTATGTATAAGTATATCAATATCTGTAATAACTCTGATTTTCAAATATTTTAGGTTGTAAGCCGCTGATGAGAACCTAACGAAATAAAATGAATCCATTTATTATTCTTCAACAATCTTTGATCTTTCTCTCTTTGACGAACAATCTCGCTGATATATGAAAGAGTGGGATGAAAAAAATATTTTTTTTACTAACACAGTTGTTAGGTGTATATATTTAATAAAAACGATTATGTTATTCATTTCCTTGATTATTGTAATTGATTATTATGCATAACTGATTATGAATAATGACACGATCTTTTTTTTAATTTTCTTGTTTACTACTACTTGTTAAAAAAAACTACTCATTAATAAGACTGTACAACATAATTCGATGAGTAAGTTAAAATAAATGAAAAAAGTTTACTTTACCTAATTATCTTTAATCTTTTTCTTTCTTTCTTTCTTTAATGGTATAATGAATTTGTTTATGTTTAGTTAAAATCATTAGTGAAAATATAGAACGAATACAATAAGAAACAAATAAATTAGTAAATCTATATGATTTGTCTAGATTCTTTCAATAGTCTGATGACTGTGTTGTGTTTTTTTCCTCCTTTTAAAACACACAATCAAATTATAATTTAAATAATTTGAGAAATCTAAAGTATCCCTTTGAAAAATTGATACATTAATTCTAATTAAGAGATGAAAGAGAAAAAAAAAGAAGTAGAAGTAAAAGTAGGCAACGATGAAAGAAGTGGATAATGATGATGATGATAATAATAATAATAATAATACACAAAAATGTAATAAATATGTACATACTTTATAAAAAGAGCTCGTCATAGAAACAGTAAAAGAAAGTGAAGAATAAAAGACAACAACAAACAGGAATTGGAAATAATGTAGAAGGTGAAAGATTAATGTTATTGATAAACTGATTATGTTCTGAGATTAAACTTTTGTTTTTAAAGAATTAATAATACTTCCATGACGTATTGAACCAGCACTTAATGGACGAATTTCAGGATTATTATTATTATTATAACTGGTATTTAAAGTAGTTGGATTCACATTTATAATTGATGATCGTTGTATACTAGATACAGGTGTACTTCCTGAAGATGGTATAATCATGGAGGTTTTATTTCTTTGTATTAAACTAATAGAACGTTTATTAGTAGTTGGTTGAGATTTTGGTGAACGATTCTTTTTTAATATTTTTGCAATATGCTTATAATAAGAAGGGAGTAAATGATAAATAAATGAAATTTATTATTTATATTTTTGTATGTATTTTTGATAATATTCAAAACAATGGGAAAATACGTTACTACTCTGTACAATCAATTTAATTTAAACTAATTCATTTTCTGTGTAGCCCCGTAGTGATACTATAATTGATGAATGACCTTTGAGTGACGCTAAACTCACCTTGAGAGTGTCCACCTAATAGTTAGAACCAAATGGGGGTTATAAACCAGTGTTAGCAATTTGAATTATGATGAACAGTTGATGGTTAAAGATAGTAATTAGATTTCGGTTTTTCACCACGAACTGACATCAGCTATAATACCAAAACTCTATTTAGCCAAATGGATGAGTGAATTTCTCTCCAAAATCCAAGACCTATTATGTTCTACGTGATTGGTGCGTCCATAAACTATAGTCTCACCGAGTTTTCTATTCAAATCTTAGTTCTACATTATAGTCTATGTGAATTTGCCTTAGTTGAAAAACTAGTTATTAATAAAATTGTGTCTTATTGGATATGTTTTTGAATAGTCGATATTGAACAATATGTTGTTACTATTTAGCATAGAAGCAGATTAACAATGTTTTTGTAGAGATTAAGATCTATTATAAAGTTAGATATATGTATATTGATGTTCTGACGTCAGTTTCTTCTAATACCTAACCTGAATATTGTTTTTGAAGTTAATTTTTAAAATAAACTGATACCATCTAGAGAAAAAGCCAAGGATCGCTAGACAGTTTTTCGTCTTTTATGGAACTTCTCTGTACTAAATATCCATAATCTAATTCTGAAACAATTTATTCTCATGGAGAGCACCAAACCTTAAGACTAACAAGGTGGAATGCTCATTATTCACCACAGTATTTAGGTCACCGAGCATCTCCTGCAGAATTTCCCAGTGACGTATTTCTCCAGTCATCAGTGTTCATAGGATTACATTGATTAAGTTTCAATAAGATCTCCAAGTTTAGAGGTCCAAAATAACAGCGCATTTTTTATTTAAAATAAAATAGTTAATATTAGTTTTCTACTGATAATCGATTTAGGATTTGCGCAGTTGGCATACTAGAAAAAGTCTTATTTGCAGTCTCTAGGCCAAATGTAATCCTTGGAGAATTCTTTTTATTCCTCACTATAATAATTAGTGGTTCTTCTTTATTCTAGTGATTGTATCGCTACTCCATTGGTAGACTATATGTAGCGTTAAAAGTACTGAAAAACATTATTCTTCAGCAGGTAACATACTGATCAAATATCTTTTTGGTGTTAATGTTCACTACCGGACTTAAACCCAATACTTTTCAATGCAGACGCGCAACACAAAATCCACTGAGATGCTGAGTCCACATGGCCATATAATGGGTTACAGATTACACTACTAGCCAAAATCTAATTTTGCTTAAATACATGTAAACTAATGGTAAAATCAAGGCAGTCCACTCAGGATGTATACATGCCAACAATGACTAATCAAAATTCAATCTTTACTACCAACAAATAAAAGGTTCAAACGCTCAAAAAATAAGGAACAAAAAATAGTTTCAAGCCTCTTCACTGACTACTTGCAATCACATTTCAGAAATACAGAATTTTTCGTTATTTCTTAAGGCGAGAAAAACATTATACCTTTTGCCAACTAGTTGGAAAGGCATTCAGTAGACAGGCAATAGTAATCAGAATTAAACTTGAAATTTGTACTGAAGACATAATCAATATTCGTTTCATCCAAAATAATTCATAAACTGGAAAAGAAAGAGGATATAAAGCATAAATTAATTCAGTAATATAGATTCATGAATCATTTTAATGGAGCAAATAATCAATCAGATTGAAAGAATATTCAAGATAGATGGTTATGACTCACAAATGTAGTAAATCTGGCAACTACAGACAATATTAAGACGTTTACTCAGGATGTAAAGATGTCATCTGAAGCTAATCAAAACTCAATCCTGAATATTAATATGGAAATATAAATCATGAAGACTAATAAATATCACACCCATTTGACAAGTTAGTAACTGTTTGTACTCACCGCTTGAAGCGATACATGCAATATTCATGTTTTAATGTGAACAAAAATACTAGGCTGCTGATACATCCATATGGTGTTTCAACAAGGATTCAAAGCATATTCTGAATCCAGTTATTGGGCAAGATAACAAAAACATGTTTATCTATGTTTTTGATATACTTTGATAACAATTTTTAATTTAGTTGACTGACAGAATACCTTAAGTATGTAGATAGTCACCCAAACAAATAGCTAAGTGAAAACCGAACATATATTTGTGTAGACTAAATAACTTCAAACAACTGAGTGGATATTTATTAGGTAACTGGAGTTGGTGTTTATAAGTAAAACATTTTATAACAACTATAAGCCTTTAAATTTGCTTATAGAATCACAACGGATCAATCTAATATGAGAATGAAGGTCACAACACAATCAACGATGATTGGTTTGTACTTGTTGCATCAAGGATGTATGTTTTCAACTCTATAATATTAGATAAGAACTTTCGTCTAAATTTGATCGAATAGTTTCACAGTATTTAGGCATCGAGTTGATGTGAAACATTAAAGAGAAAGAATGTATTTGTAAAATCTCAGCCAATGAATTTGAAGTTAATGCAACATTTCGCCTGGTAATCTGATCCAAGCTTTTTCACGGAAATATAACCAAACATCAAAATTATTGAATATAAATAGGTAAATGATTCTCCGGTTCACTGTATACTGAATAAATCATCATCATCACCTAATTTTCCTAAGTTGCATCAATCTAATGTGACATTAAACAAGATTAAAGAGTGAAAAAAAAATTATCTAGTTGAAATCAACAGAAAAAATTTTAGGTCAGGGATGAAGATTATCGAAAGTATTAAAATGATAATTGCTCTTATCCACGTCATTATTGACATTATTTAATTTTAACTCTCAAAATTAAAGTTTTAACTAACAACGACTAATAAAAAAAACTGTTTCTAGGATAGAAGGTTTTTTTAAGAAATATATTTTGGTTATATCTTAACAAGTAGAAAATTGTATTTCTGATGTTTTGTCACTTAGTGTGAACCGCTTCTTCAGAAGTGGGATATAACAAAAATATATTTCTTATTAACTTTCTATCTAATGATTAATTTTTTTGAAACTATCAAGTCCAACATTCGCACTGATATATATATATATATATATATATATATATATATATATATATATAATGTGATATGACTTTTTGTTGAATTTTATCATCTATAAGCTTATTTGAGTCCAGTTAGTTAGCTAATGTGTAAAACTTATGTCAAGTTTAGGTTTATTTACAGGCCGGTTGCCAAACTACACAAGGAAAGGCAGGATTACAACCTGAGATCCATTCCTACCAACCACTAGTTATTCACATTTGTTTCAGTTTCTGCTACTGGGTAGATTATTACTTAGAGTGAAATCATGATTCATAATCAGGTTTATAAATATGTCCCCAGTTATCGAACAACATCATTAATATTATTAAGACTACGTAAATTCAAATGTTTGAACATTTATACAGTAATTTTATTTCACATATAAGTTGTTGACTGCATTCCTTTAAGCCATACAATCATACTTTGATATTACTTTTTTAGTTCGTAGTGATCATCTTTAGGGTTATACTAACACAGTTCTGACAGGACTTTAGGACTTTAAGACTTCCATAAGCTTTTGAATAGAAAGAGCAGAAACCTACAAGTTCTATTGAATGACAGTTACTCTCTGATACGAATTAGTTTAAATTATACAATGTTGTCGGTGTGACGACGTTTGAGTGACGCTCGACTGACCTTGAGAGTGTCTACCTAATAACTAGGACCAAATGAGGGTCATAAACCTGTGTGAGGATTTAGAGTTATAATCTCCAGTTGATGGTTGAAGTTAGGAATTAGATTCAGGCTTTTCATCACGAAGTGACACCATCTATAATGCCAAAACTTTATTTATCCAAATGGATGAGTGAATTTCGCACCAAAATCCATGACTTATTATCTTATAGGTGACTGGTTTGTCCATAAATTATAGTCTCGCCACATTGTTAATTAAAACCAATCTCACTGACAGGCTAAATAATTACGCAGGCGCTATTAGGCTTGAATGTTTTAATATCTATGTGTACAAAATTTGAGGTGAACATAACAAAAGACTACTATTCAGTGCTTTTCTATTTTTCTTCTCTTTCTCCTACTGGTAATCTTTGATTTTAACGAAAATTATCATTCACAAACTATCTAACTGATCAACTCAAAGTCCTATTTCAGTTAACATAATACATATGTATTTTGATTGATCACTAACTTTTGCAAACGACCTCACTATGTTGAAACATAAGAGCTGTAAAGAATGAAATTAGCTAGCATAATGACTCTAATTTACTATTGTTGGTCAACCAAGAAACATTAGTTGTATATCATTAATAGTTTACACAGGAAACCTATACTATTCCATACATTTTTATACTTCAGATAATACTAGATAACAATGTAACAATTAAATGAACCATACCACTTGAAATGGTTACAATTGTACTTAACCATCTAGCTAACTCTGATATATATATATATTCATGATTTACTTGTGCTGATTATATGGGATTACGTCACTATCTATTTTAATTGTTTAAATAAACTTCTGTATTAATACTTCACTTATTCTCTGTGATGATTGTTAAAGATCCATTTAAGTGGGTAGTTCTAATCCGTTTTTTTAGATATAGTCTACATACAAATAAACAAAATTGATATTAATAACACTGATGATAACAATACTTCAGTACTTATTATTTATATCTTTTTGAATGTCATTTCTTTGGCTATAAATTGAAGTTTGAAAGAGAGTAGACAATATATAATCACTTATAAACTATTCAATGAGTTGATTGTTTCTTTAAACTGATAAAGTATATTAAACTAATGGGAATAAGAAAGAAAATATCAAATGAAAATTTAATATAATTGAAACTTACTAATACAAATAGGTAAAGCACATAATGGTTGAATAGCTCTTATAATTCGTTTTGTTTTACGACAACTCATATCCATAAAAACAGTGATACCTTTATTTTAATAAAAAAAAGAGAATATATAATACCAATAATGATGATATAAAAATGATAAATTTGAAAATGAAAAGTTTTACATTTGGTTAGTTGTTGTTATGCATATCTATTGCACAAGTTAGTGTCTATCTTAATTCAATAAACTAGAAGTGTCTAAAATTGAAGTGATCGAGTTTGAGTTTCAGTGTAAATGTTCTTGTTAGGATGTACAATTGGGATCCAAATAGAATGAAATTGACGTCCTGGAATGTATTATTGATTACCATTCAACTTTCTTGATATAGGAGTGAATTAAGCAGTTTGGAAACTAAAAATATTCTTCAGTAATTTTTTTATGAAGGAGATAACCCAATAAATATAGCTTTGATTTAAATTGTATATGTATTAAAAGTAGGAATTAGTAGAAAGATTTAGGATTACTTTTTTCATCTAACTTCAGATCAGGAATAATAAGCAAGTTGTGTGATCTTGGATCAACAATAACTGAATAGCCACTATAAAATAAAGAAATTTGTTGTATCTAGTTCTGGAATCCGAGACAAGCATGTAGTTCTAAATTTGCCTATAACTCAGTATTGATATTTATAACAGGACTCGAATTCATTTCCTTTAGCTTCGTATGCTGACTTCCAGATGTATTTACACTCCTAGTAACCCCAATCAACTACTTTATTATTTGTCTATTCTCTGCAATTTAGACATTTAATCCACTATGTAAATTCATGTGTGAGTCTGATGGAGCACATCAATCTTTAATTTATTCTGCCATTGGTTGTAACCCAAATGCAATCAATAATTTATCCATAATCGATTAACATTCATAAATATATATGAATTTCGAACACACACTCGTTTTCCTGTGTGCTACCTTTCTGCACGCTTGCTGATTTTTCTAGTCATTAACAAAAGACTATCTATATAACTGATGTTCGTGCTTTTGAATAATTTCGAGTAAATCCATAATTCTACTAGCAGATTTAACCTGTGTTAAGTACTCAGTTAATGGGATACTATTTATTAGAGTCAGATATAGAGGAAATTAACCGCTACACATTCGCTTGACGTGTATCTTACATTTTACTGATAGCCACAAATCCATTTATTTGTAGAAACTCGTGAAAAGCGATTGCATTACCATTATGTTCACTAATTTGAATTTGAAAGACAGTTTAAGGAGCATAGACTCATTAAATCACCAACATTATATTTCCAACGTGTCTTATTATTACTGTCATTTGAAATAAAGCTTTTTGATGATCGTTTTACCAATGGTAATTAAAATTCTATTATCTCGAATTGTTTTCTACACATTAGCATTATGTATTAGATGAATCAAATCGTGTTGCAGAATACCATGTTGATTATGTCATTAAAATAGAATGTTTCTAATTTTTTTCCCTGGTTAACATCTAGTGCTTATACTTATTTGAGTCTGTTGAATATAAACTCCTAAGATAAATATATTATCACTTTGAATATATATTACATATAGTGGTAGATAAATTTAAGCAAATTGTACCTACCTAAATATGAAATTCCTACACCAATAAAATAATCCCATGGTAAATATATCCAAGTTATTATTTCTGTTGAGGTCAGAATAGATGTAAATACAAAAATCGGCCAAGTAATTAAAATGTTAAATAAGCCTATTGTAGTGAAAAAGAAGGGAAATTATATGAGGTGATACGTTAAGAAAATGACAAATCACACTGAATAGTTAAGATAAAGAATTTTGGTTTGATTAATGAGTATTGTTTTCATTAAGATTTGGCTTCAGAAGTATTGGTCTTTCAGTTTTCATAGTGTCTATCAATTGAAATTGTTAGTTCCAGCTTCTACTCCACTGAACATGTATGTATATTTTATTAGAAAAATTAGTAACTGAAGTCCAAGAATTAGAAATGGGAAAGTTATTAAACTCGAAGTTTCGTTCAAAATGCAAATCATAGTCATTAATATGATTAGACGTACATGTTTTTAATTTTTCATTTTTTCATACCATTTCTTCCGATAGATTAGGAATGGGTAATTATCAACAGATGAGAATGAAGACATGTTGGATTCAACCACATCAGAGGAGAAAGTTGTTACAAATGATATTGGATAAACACTACAATAGTACGGCTAAATAAATATTGTTATAAACAACGGACAATCTATTCCATCTCATTAATCATATGCTATCGTCACAAGACGTGATAGTCATGATTGTGATACAGAATAAGGATTGCGGATGTACACTGCTGAACTGTCCCAAAACTGAAGGAACTGATTATGCCTGAAACGTCATGGTTGTTCCAGTAGATGGTTCTCCAGGTAGCATCGATTCATTGTGAAAATGGCTCTTAGAGATGAAAACGTAACAAACTGGGGAATACTCAAAATCTATTTTTCTAATATATTTGATCATATGAAGAATGTCATGCTGAGCTAAACATCACTGTCTAATGTTAACTTCATAAATCATCTACTGATCTGTATTGATGTATGTATAAGTACTTATGTACGTTAAAAATAAGAACTTTTATATGCGGGATTACTAATTAACACTTTTATAAACGGGTTTTGGATTATTAAAATCAGTGTATAGGTTATTATGTGACAGATGATGTGTTGTGATGACTTTTTTGCTTAGCAATGATTGGACTATTTACTTGAATCCTCCAAAGAACTGAAACCAAAGATATGACCACTAGCCAAAAGAATAGTTTTTATCCATAAAAATCGAATCCTTAAATAAAAATTACTAACAGAAAAATGACATATTAAGGTGTGGCAAACAATTAAAAAATATCGGTTCCAGTGATTTGACACCAGGAGTGAGGTTCAGGATACGTACTTCGTCTTGTTTGTTATATGTCAAATGGATACACCTGGACTTATGGCAGTGGAGACTCACCAATTGGAGTCCTGAATCACAACAACGGGAATTATAGACTTTTACTGATATATATAATACTAATTACCATTACTATTACTACTCCATGAGTTGTGGAAGAGTCTCATACTAGAACGAAACATCTGTCCAGTGATGCAGGGCTTTCAATGGTGCTTAAACTTAAGTAAGTCATTTTATCTTCAGATGAAAGCGAATTCACAGCCAGTGAATTTCTGTCTAAGAAATCTGACTGAAAAATGAATTGAATAAATTGAAACAATCGTTTGTTCTACATTCAAGCAAAAGCTATAAAATGAAATAGTTCCTTTTTACAAAGTCAAACAATAGCATGAGAACACTTATTAATTCATAAAAAAAACTTGTAGTAAATTTCTGTTAAATATGTTTTCTCTTTTGACTACAATCATAAAAGATACTTGCAATATAGATACCAGTAATTGGATTCGTGACAGCTTGTTAACCGTTTTATGAAAGAGAATAAGTAAATGCACCTTCGGAAACGTAATGCAGCCTAGAAGTATGAGAAGGTCGCGAAGAGATATATGCTTAGACGTTTCTAGGGATCCAAAAATATATCGTTTAATGTAATTATGCAAATGTAAATGTTTTTTTTTTATTGTTTACGTAATTTGCTTATAATCGATGACGACTTAGGAAACATCGAAATATCATTTGTTTCTCATCGAATATCTCAAGTTTGTTTTTTATATCGATCAGAAATATTATTTTTGGTTATTCACTATTTGATAACTTAAAAAATACTGTGAATTATCTTAAACGTTTTTATCAAACCATATTTTCTGAAATCAAATGACTGGTTATTCTTCATGACAGTCAGTATAATATCAGAGTGTAACGCTGTTCAGTATTGTGTTAGTTGAATAGTATAAAACATATAATAGAGATACTCAGTTAAAAGATTCGACGTTTAATGAACTTACTCTCTATATCTTAACATCTATGGTATGATAAATTTGAATTATCAGGATAAATTCTGTTAAAATCAGAAATGATTATTGTTTTTTTATAGACTACTTGATTAGGGATCAATTAACTGACTAATGTCTTACAAATTACAAAACAACAGTATCTGTATTGCTTGTTCAGTTTTTAGTTCACATCAGTTCCCATCGATTGTGCTTGAAAAATGATTTGCCTTAGAAATATTATAGAATAGTTTTTAGGCGAGACTATAATTTATGGACGAACCGATCCCCTATAAGATAATAGGTCATGGGTTTTGGTGCGAAATTCACTCATCCATTTGGATAAATAGTTTTGGTATTATAGGTGATATAAGATCGTGATGAAAATCCTGAATCTAATTCCTAACACTGGGGGCATTTAGTCCTGTTTATTAAGTGAACACTCTCGAGGTCATTTTACCGTCACTCGAAGGTCGTTTGCAAATTAGACTCACCTAGTTTTTATACTAAGAGAACATCTCACGGATTAAAATTGTGAGTCAATTGAAGCTAGACCAACATGGGAAGTCTGGAAGCACTGGACGGCTGTTTCGTCCTAATGTGGGACTCCTCAGTGGTGCTCATCCACGATCCCGCACCCTGCGAGATTCAGACCCAGGACTTATCAGTCTCGCGTCAGGCGCTTAACCACTAGACTACTGAGCTGGCCGGCATCAAACGGTGTTAATGTCTAAGTTCGAAAAATCCACGTAGTTACGCCACTGTCCGCCATCGTCATCATTAAGTTGATATCTCACAATAGATCTGGTCGAACTCCACTGGTCTAGCTTCAATTGGCTCATGATTTCAATTAGTGAAATTTCTAAAATCTCCACAAAACCCCTTCTTATAAGAGAATATTGTTTAGGATTTGTGTAAACAAGTAGTATGTGATTATTTCTTTGTTAACTATATCTATCGACCTGGTCAATTAACTCCTTAATTTGCATATATAGTGTGATATAAATGAAAATAGACATTAAGTTAATAATTGAATTATCTAGGACATGATGTTTATTAGAAAACAGATTTTACACCAAATACATTGATGATTGAGTTTGAAATTAACTATCAAGTTTTGATGAGTAGATTCTTTGAAGTTAGTTTAATTGATAATGATAGCAACCAATAAAGTAGATCATAATTAATTTAATTTTAAAATTATATTGATTTACAAAAAAACACAATAAAAAATAATCGATTTTTAGTCTTAGAGATTATTTAATTTAAATCAATGAAATATTTTTTCCAATTATCTAGTATCCTACTGTCAAGTTTATGACCACATAGTAACATCCAATATTAATTTTATTTAATATCTAATGCTTTTTTCTGTTTTATTAATTAATCAAGAAACAATATTAAAGAAAAAAACATGAAAGAGAATATTTTTCTAAAGAGAAATAAAACTTTATGCAATTGGATTAATATATTACTAAATAATATGAATTAAGTAGTATTTGAATGATTACTTACCCAATGCGAAATAAAAACAAGCCATTTGTCCAACAGTAGGCTTATTAATAATACGTTTCAAAATAACCTAAATTAACGAGCAATAAATCATGATGAACAGAAACCATGTACATATTGATTTAAAGATATTATTTAGTCAGTTGGAATCAAGAGCCTAAGTCGATAAAGTTCATTAGAAAATTTTTTTTAAAAAGTGTTTCTGAATCCACAGGTGATCAGTCGAAAATAAATGAAAATTATGAAAGATGATGATGAAAACAAAGATCGATTATTATTGAAATTGCAGGAGAAGCTAACCCCGCTCAATTAGAAGTCAGCGTTCAATTCCTCCAATATTCGTCCAATCCATAGTGTAGTACAATCATTATCACTCAACAAAATATCTAATGAACATCAAGGTAAAGCTTATAATTTGATCGGTCACAATTTCTTAATATAATCTTTGGAAATCCCCTAGGAACTAGACTAGTTTTTGGTTACTAATTAGGTACATGTTTAATTAGTGTTTTTCTCGCTAGTGTTATTCAGTGATGGAAACAAGCTTTAATTCAATTCAACACATGCTAAAGTCAACCTGCGACCAATGAAGTTCAACCACTGTCGGCTGTCAAACAGTTATTGACCCGTATCCAGTGAAATAGAGTTGAACAATATCATGGACCGATTAAAGTTGAAAATTAACACCGTTGAACGCTAAGTCAACAGTTTGAAGGTTAAGCGTTGGTACACAAGATAGAAGGTCCAGGTTCAATTTTCGGTTGCGAGTTCGTGGCTGAGTACTTCTGAGAAGTACCATAGTAGGACAAAGAAGCTATTCAAGGCTCTGACTAAGGACGAAAAGTCCAGCTCAATAACTGAGCGCTAAATACTTTGGTAATACTATGAACTGAAACTTTTGTTCGAAAATTCGCAATATTACCCAGTCATCAACATTCATTTAAGTGATCAGTTTTGCCTATATTGTCTAGTGATTAATAAACGTTTGTAGTTCCTACATCTAAAGCTAAATTTGAAGGTTAATATACTGCTGCTTTAGGTTTAGAGAATCGATGAAAGGATGTTTAAAGTGGCCTTATTATCCATAAGTTCCTTCAAATATTATGATGGGAAAATTTCCAGACGTTTTTCATTAGTACGTATATACCAGTCTTATTGCTTATTAATGGTTGATCATGCAATTTGAGATTAAAGACCTTCATCTATATACTCTCAAGAATTTGTATTTTTAAGGTTGGGAAAAAGTTTATAATTCTTCATACAGTGGGATATGTCTTCTTACTGTTGTTAGTAGAAAACACCTCAAGAGTGACAATTCACTTTCAGCTATATATATATATATATATGATTAAAGATTAAATCCAAATGTTGAATTGACTTCTCCATTTATTCTAGTATGTAGTATATTCGAACAGTTTGTAATCTAATTCAGTATCTAAAGTTTACATTATTACTTCCTGCTTTGATTTATTTGATCTATAATTATCTTTTATCTTCATGAAATACGGATAATATATTGGATTGTTTTTTGTTGTTGGAAAATTCATTTATTCGGCATGACTACCATTACCTAGGTTCATAATTACTCAATTGATACTACATAATAATTAAACATAGATTGAATTCAATGATGAATTTTGATTGGATTTATTTTTCTATCACTATCTACCCCTATGCTCAATTCATTTTAAATTATCACGCAAAAATTTTGATAATGATACTTACAAACATTAAGATAATTTGAATATATTGGAGAGTCATCTCACGATATCTTGACTCGAGCTAAATAACATAGGTACACAATGAAACCAGCTAATAACCCCTTAAAACTGGATGGACTTCATATTAAATTGGCAATAGCAGTTCACACCATTTACAATAACTACCAAATCGATTTCAAAATATTATAAAAAGGTTTTTCCAATTACAAAGAAAGGAGAGTAGCTGAAGCGTTCCATATAATGCTTAATCCTACTACTCTCAATAGAAAAGAAGGCTTTACCATACATTCTGATATTAGTCCAAATTCACACTATTACCTTAAATACAAATTAAACTCTATCCTTTCTCATCATAAAGGTCACACATTTTTCATCCTTAACTATGCACACATACACACACATTTATATACATGTCGCTTATGAATCACCTTGACCGAAATGACATGTCATTGATTTGTTCAGACCTGTTTTTTTATCCCACACAATATTCCTACGTTATTCCTTTGTACTATTTAAACTTGGATTCATGTTGATTTAATTATTTAGTTCTCTAAAGAAGTAGCTTACATTAAGTTACGAAACGTCAGAAAATTTAATTTTTCTACTCATTTATTTATAATTTGAAATAGTTTACCATATTAATATACAAAAACTATTTCATACATGACATGTGATAATTAGTTTATGAATTTTAAGGAAATCAGTTTTTCTTATTCAAAAAAAATGGTATAGCGACCATTCATTTTTATGTATCCATCTATGATAAATAACCAACTTCAGTTTTAATTAATTTATCAAAAATCTGTCAAATATACGAATATAAAAATGTACACATCAAATGACATTTTAAATAAAATAACAAAACCAACTACTATTTGGGAAAATTTTAATCAATTCACTAATTGGTAAATTTTATTGATCATCTATCAAAAATTATTGATTATAACGTTCCTCGTAAAATAATTTTTAATTATGAAATCTGTTAGTTACTAAAAGGTAAGAACTAGTATACAGTGTGTTAAAGATTTAATATGATAAACATTTATTTTAATAGTTGAAATCATGAATCAACTGAAGCTAGATCATCATGGAAAATCTGGAAGCACTGGACGGCCGTTTCGTTTATTTGTTTTCCCAAATGATTTTTTTAAATCTTGGAAGATGTGATAACAAAGGTAAATTGTATTGTTACTTTCGGATTTCCATTGATTATCTAAATCGATATGAGTAGCATGACTGGTTGTCTGTTACTCAAGAAAGACAAATTATTGTTGTGAGATAGTAACTCACTGAAGAGAATGGTGGATATGTTGCTCAATTTCGTGGATTAGTTGAAGTTAGACATTAACACCGTTGGATGCCGGCCAGCTCAGTGGTCTAGTGGTTAAGTGTCCGCGCGCGAAATCAGTAGGTCCTGGGTTCGGATCTCGTGGGGTGCGAGATCATGGATGCTCACTGTTGGGGAGTCCCACAATAGGACGAAACAGCCATCCAGTGCTTCCAGGTTTTCCTTGGTGGTCTAGCTTCAACTGACTCATGATCTTAACCACTGAAATTATCAATTATTTACTTAGAGCTACTTAATGGACGAATATTAAAAGAAAGAACAATTTGCTGTAGAGAGGAAACATTTTTCTAGTAGACTGATATATTTGTTTTCAAAATATATGACACAAAGCTAAGCAAATTAAGCTCACTTAAAGCGCAGTTAATTATAGGATACAAATTTCGTTGGTAGTCCACCATCCTATGAAACGAATATTCCCTGATGAGGTTTGACCCGCACCTGTCATGTTAAGTAGTATGCGTGAAAGGTTGTGAAAAGTTTGTCATTCGAACTATCATAAATGACTGGTAAGTTATCGTATTGACATGTCAGTGTATATTACTGTATGATAACTGAAAGGTTTCAAAATAAAAGCTGGAAAACATGTTGAGTCTTATTAAAATTTCAAAACTAAATAGACAATCACTTACTATAAATAACGAAAAGATAATTATCGACACACTAGTGAGACATTTATACCACATTACCAATTGATCACTGTATATATTCAGAATTACCCCACTGGAAGCCATAATGAATGCAATGACCTAAAATAATATACATATAAAAAAGTACATACTATTTTAGATATAATAAATTGGTTCGAACTCTTTCTGTAAATAATCATCAAAGAGATTACTTTTTGTAAAAAATGGCTTTATGATAAGAGAGATTTACACAACTATTTTATTATAGAATAACATTTCTAATCAAATGAAATTGATAAGTTAACTCCCAGAGACCAAACACAAAGTCATTGATTAACGTTATTACATTATCTTTGGAGAATTAAAAGCTTTACATCAAATCTTAAGGGGTAGATCTCATCTCACGCAGTAAGCAGAATAAATAATTTAAAAGATACCTCAGTCATTTCTGACTTTTGCTGGTGTGTTTTTTTGAGAGGCGGTAAATGAAGTACTTAGCTACATTCATAAAGATTGATTGAAGTAAGATGTTAACACCATTGGATGCCGGCCGGTTCAGTGGTCTAGAGTTTGAGCGTTCGCGCGCGGGACTGAAGGTCCTGGGTTCAAATTCCGCGCTCAGGATCGTGAATGCCCACTGCCGAGGAGTCCCATAATACGACGAATTGGCCGTTCAGTGGTTCCAGGTTTTCAATGTTGCTCTAACATCGACCGGCTCATGATCTTAATTCAAAAACATCACCGTTAAACGTGTCTGATAGACTAATTTGTTAGTTTACTACAAATAATACTATGAACTTGTCGGTAGCTCACTGTTTACATGGATTATAGATCAAAGTCGATCTATTGACTTTTAAAATAAACTATTGCCAAGGTCTTGTTACATCATCTATACTTCGAGTTATAATGGTAATAAACTGTGACGTCACCTGGTGCAGATAATTTAGGTATCACTTGTTTAGTTAATAGGTTATAAAGTCAAATGTTAAACTTCACTGCAAAGACTCTCACACTGACATCAACAACACGGAAATATAAACCCTTACAAATTGTTTATTTGTTATTTCTCACTTTTCGTAAATCTCTTTAGTACATTAGAGACATCTATTGAACATTTATTAAAAATCATGAAACTCTAAGTACCTATTTTGGCCTGATTTTTTATTATACTATTAGGTAGCCACAGCTCTAAGTAGTGTTGAACCCAAAGCATTTATCTACGTCTAGTAGTAAACATAACAACTTTTGCGCGTATGCATTTTAATATTTTCGGGTTTAATGTTAAGTGGTTGGAGGTAGTCTAAAGGAAACCCTGATGTTCGATGGTACTCACCAAGAAGGCATCCCATTGATCAAATTAGTGTTTTCTGCAGGACCCATCACAAAGCTTCATAGTCCGTGACGCATCACTGAGTTAATAAATAAACAACTAGTCACTCACAAAACTAACATGTTTACGTTCAATGCTTTCTGAGTGATACTCAACATTTCACTAGATTCATGTGAAATCCATCACAAAACTAGTCACAATGGATTAATTTTTATTTACTACAGTGGTCTTGTTTGTCTTTATAATATCAGTAAACCGGATGATAATTGGATATATAGAACACCATTTTTTCACTATTAAAGTTCATCGTAGTTGATTGTAACATAAAAATTTATGATAAAACTTACCCGTAAAGCACAAAATCGTCTATGTACAATAATCCAGCATAATAAGTATAAAAAACAAGGGAGTACAGCTGTGATAGCGGCACAATCAATTGGTGTTATAATTCTTAAACTGCGAATATAACAGTGTATAAATATTTGCCATAAACTTGATAAAAGACTACATCTAGCAATAATTTTCATAATTTTTGGTTGATCACTTGCTACGATGATAGCATGATTCCTGAATTAATCAAGTTAACGGAAGAGAATGAAAGAGTGGAATAAATTATTCAATTAAACGTTACAGATAATGATCTTTATAGAGAAGAATAAACAATCGGGAATTAGTAAGTGTTAAAAGGAGTGTTTGCGGTGAAGGAAATGTTATTATTTTCGACGATTTCATCTATTGGAGCTGCACAGAAGTCATCTATAAAAACAAAAACTTAATATCTGATTAACAGAGGTACTAAAAGTCAGAATTTAAAGTAACATAATAATCAATGGATAATAAGAATAATATAACATGTAGAAACGAGATATGAAGGTTTTCTCACCTAACGATTATACAGAAGATAAAGCTATGAATTGAGATATTTGAAAATAAGTTTGGAAACAGGGATGTGAAAGACAACTTCCTACTTGGAGAATATGGAAAGATGAAAAAGAGAACATGTGTCACGAAACAACAACTGACAAATTATGAATTGGTGTTAGGATCATGATCAAATGGATAGATCTTCTATATCTCGTTTCTATGCATTAGTCCATTCATATTACCCTTTAATCATTGCGTTACTTTAAATTTTGATTGACTTTTAGCACCTCTGTTAATGAGACAATAAGTTTTTGTTTTTACAGATCACTATGTGTAAAATGTAACGATTATACTACTGTGCAGCTCCAAACATTTAAATTGTATGTCAGAGTTTGTAATTTCCTGTTGTTGATAGTAAGTTACCCAATATGACGAAATGTACATCCTGGATTCCATTATTGTCACAATTCAAATATCTACCGACACTTGTGGCTGAATGATATGACTGACTAAATCCACTCAGGTTGAATATATGTCAATAAAGCCTGATCAACTGAAGTCCTCAGTATAAAAGATGGCAAAGTAATTCATGCGATTCCACAAAACCGTCGTTCATTATTATCAGTGAAACCTATTTCACATATTGCACAGTTATGCTTTACCAGTTATACCTTTTTACTTAGGTAATTTTGTGAATAATGTTCAGCTTTTAGGTTAGAACATGAACTGATTCCAGCTAGGTAATCACTGAATATCAGGAAGAACTAAGTAGTTTTTTCGTACTGCTAAGAGACTCACTAGCAGTAGGCACCTACTTCACAGTCAAGGATTGAAACCGAGAATTTAAGGTCTCATGATGAGCAAGTAATTTTTGGATTAGCGAGTTAATACTCAGTGGTTTGTACTTTTAACTTCGACCTGTTCACTATATCGTACAACTGCCATTCATTGACACCGATTATGCTCGTCTCACGCTTGACATTGTCGTTTAGCTTTGTCCTGACAACATACCAAGAAAAAAGCATGTTGATTTAAAAAGAGAACAAAAGAATCAGTAAAAATACGTCTAACACTCACATAATCATTTCAGTGATTGTAAATGCTTCCAAACGGAATAACAAATTGATAATGAGGTATATCGGGTAAATTAAAATTAACCAAAATGATATAGTATAAGAAGCCAATGACGGAGGATTTACAAGTTCCTGAATGACAATGAGAATATTATGAATAATAATAATAATAATAATAATAATAATAATAATAAACCTTTTATAGTGAGACAGATGACTTGTGTTTGAGTATAAATTATTATACTTTGATAGAATAGCTTATCTTAAAATCCAGTTAATCATTGAATTTTTATCATTAGTAGTATGTCAGGTCTGAATAAAATAGCGATAATTGGATAGTATTAATTTTTCTGGTGAAATTTACGTTTTTCTGAAACATTATTGGATTAGAATCTTGCTATATAAAAATGATCTCAAATTATGATCTAGACCAAAATATCCCCCATTTTTGACTAGGTTACTTTTAAACAACAAATGCTATTTACTTTAGATCTTTTGTAGGTTCATGATTGTTCATTGTTAAAAAGCTTGAAACTGAAACTTAACAACCAGCTACAGCTCTTAGATTCAAAGTTGTTATCCAGCTGTTGAATATCTGTGACGGCAGTCTCCAATGGAAACATATTTATTAGTTATGTATCATTCCATATTTGTCCTGTTGTAAAGATTTACATTTTCATCTATTGTTAATAAATGCATCACATATCCATGATTCGCATTGAGAGAAAAGTGAAAAACGTAAGACTATATTGTGAAGAATATCAGCCTCAAATTTATTACATCAATATCTCTTCAATACAGTCTATTTTGTATTGTGCTTTGTTTCATTTACGAGTGTCATATGCATTACCATTATCAATTAGAGACACTTGATAATTCTTTAAAAAGGTGGAATTGCATTTTGGAAGCTCAAGCAACCATGTACTATTTTATGTCCTAGATAAAAATATGAATTCCCTTGCGCAGGGTAGTAAACACTCATTTTTGTCTATTCGGATCTAAGTGAACCGACCATAATTCTTTACAATTGTAGCTAAAAAAACGATTTATTTTCTTGAAAACCATCTACAGATGTCTCCATGAAAAATAGAAATATTGTCTAATGGGTTTGCAGTTAGTTAAGTAATTATGGTCGTTTGCCTTAATTTTTATTTACGATACATCATTTCATACTAACCCAAGCTAACCACATATCGAAGACTTAAAATGTCAAAAACTATTTTTAGTAAATAATTAATTTTTTAGTATCAGAAGGGGTTTTGCGGAGACTGTAGTAACTTCAGTAGTTGAGATCATGAGTCAATTGAAGCTAGACCACCATGGAAAATCTGGAAGCACTGGATGGACGTTTTTTCCTATTGCGGACTGCTCAGCAATGCGGATTCACGACCCCACTTATCGAGATTCCAACTTAGGACCTATCAGTCTCGCGCGCCAGCGCCTAACCACCAACCACTGAGCTGGCCAGCATCCAACGGTGTTAATGTCTAACTTCAACTAATCTACGGAATTCAGCGACACATCCACCTTGGGCATCAGTGAGTTACTATCTCGCAGCAGACCCGGTTGAACTCCACTGGTCACTGTTTCTCACTAGAACTCCAGGAAATACCTCTTGAAGCCAGTCATTAGTGAGCATTTGTTGATTATAATCAGATAGGGGTTTTGTGGATATTATAGTATTTGATAGTTGAATATTTATTTTAAATTGCTTTTATGTATGTTTATATTCATCATCATGGTATATCTACGTCTTGTTATTGAAATAAATTAATCGATAGAAACAAGGTTCATTTATCACCATCTTCTTATAATTTTATTATTATGAGACTAACTGAAATGGAATAAATGATTAATGCTAGTTTACCTTGATCAATTTAGTAAGTTTTCCCAGTTCTTTATTGGTTTATTTGTAAATACATTCACTATGATAGATATGCAGTGACGTAACATGTTTCATATAGAGGAATATAAATTATGTAATATTGTTATCGAGATGTATTTATGATAGCATAATTCTAATTAGTATTCAGTGTATTGTGAATGAGAGTTTTCATCTTTTCATCAGTATTAATAACTAAGGTAATTTTAGTAATGGCTTTTTCATCCATTACGAATTTATTGCATAAGTATTTCTGAATAAGAAAAAGTCAATATAATGAATCACTTAGGGTTGTGTCCAAACACAGAATTTTAATCTTCATAAAATGAAAATTATATTCAATGGGCAGGTACAAACATCCTTCCGTTTACTGACAGCTGACTGAAATTAGGTTTTATTTAATTGGAAACTCATGCTAAATATACTAATGTGTTTATAAAGTATTCTTTCTGTAGTTATTTTGTAAACGTAATTCAGCTTTTAGGTGACACTATCAGAAACCTGAGAGTATTGAACGGCCATTTCATTCTGTAAATGGACACTTTAATCCAAGATATTAATTGGATTCAAAGCCATCAAGTCCCATAGTGATGGCTTAATTATTAAGCTGCATTGTTGAGATGCGGCGATCCACATTTCCTTCTTAATTTTTACTTGTAATATACCTTGACGATCGTCCAATATCGTTAGTGATATCTACATGGTTGAACATCTTCTTTGATGGCTTACGATTAAAACTTTGATTATTCATCGCCAAGGTAGTTAGTAATGAATGACTAATTATGGTTTAGTTAATGGGCTTGTGTAGAATAAATTAATTCACAGTTAATATCTATGTTCAAATTAGATAACAATAGTTTAACTATTTTCACGATTCAAGACTAAAGTATGAAACATTAATTCCAAACTTACTGGTTGAAGGGATACCCACTTACCGTGAGGCCTGAAGATCCTGGCTTTGATCACTGGTGATGTCGTGGAACATTACTGTTAAAAAAATCTCAAGTCAGGGCTAAACCCTTGCTCAATATTTTTCTGTTTTCCGTGAGACTTCGATTAATGTGATTTTATAATGAATACCCCTTCGATGTTATGATATATTCTACATTGTTGAATACTACTCAATAAATAATTGTTTTGTTATTACTAACATTTCTCCCATTTCATTTTTATAGTTGGTTTAGTGAATAATTTATACTTATTTAGTTATCAAACGACGCCATTTAGATTTGATAGGTTTAGTCTTTTTTGACGATAATGACTAATGTTTGTTATAACTGATGATCAGTTATGAAAGTGTTTTGTTTACCTCAGTAAGGTCATTTCAGCAATTACTTTGGCTACGAATCGCTTATAAAAGACAAACTGCATAAATACAGTAAAAGTTCTTCTTAATTCATTAGATATTAACTAAAAATATTAGTCAATAATTACCGGGGATAATTTTTACATACATAAAGTCATTACCTGTAACTCATATAATTCCGTTGGCATTTCGATTAGAAATGTTCATAGTTACCTTAATTAGCTTCATGATGTACGACGTACAGATACATAATCTGGCAATTTCAAGATATTAGTTTAGAAAGGTGGAATACTTATGAGAGTACCTAAGCATCATTTGGAATGTGATTATCAATAAATCACACTGTTATTTACAAGGCATAGATTGTATTGTAGTTTTGATTCAGTCTGAATACGTTTATAATAAAAAGCGTAAGTAATAGCCTCAATCAAACATCCTTTGACACTAATCCATCGGTAAACAAAAACCAAAGTCATGTTGTCTAGTTTTTAGGGCTGACAAGGTACTTCCAGTTTCTTTGTAATCACTTGGCTAGGTTAGATATTATTGTATATTATTGATATTATAGTATATTTTATTTTACTTCATGTAAGCTGGAAGAAATCAGCAGGAAGTATTGAATCCAGAGTTGTTACTGGTTCGTGCACATAAAACAGGAGAATTGGAATTATTTGTTCAGTAGAAATTCACTGGTAACTCAGGTGGCTCAATGTAAATATCGTTGACCAAAATATTGCAGATATGAATTAAGATCTTATAGAGAACAATGGTTTAATTAGGATTATTAATTTGTTTTGCTAACAAAGTACTTTTGTTCATTGCTATTTGCAAATCGGTTCATATTGCACAATAATAGAAAGTGTACATAAAATCACCAAATTCGGAACTAAGATTTACCTGAAAAGTTGAATTATCCCAGTAAGTGTAAACATAGATATTTGGTACGCATTCTATAAAACAAACAAATGATGTACTAAGGAATGCTGTAGTAAGAAAATACCATAGAATTCGCCAACATAAATGTTTCAATTGTTCAGTATGCTTTTTATGTGTTCCAATAATTTTCCAATCATGTTTTTTGTACAGACGTTTTACTGCCCATTGAAGTTTATTTTGACTAATCTGTTGTGTATTATCCTGTGTTTGATTTGTAAATGGTAGTACGGGAACTTCTAATTTAATTGAAGATATACTGAGTTTATTAGTTGCATTCTGTTGACACAATTGTTGTGTTGTGTCATTATTAATTCATTTGGCTGGTAGATTGATTGTGTTTGTTGCTGTGGTTTTCCTGTACTTGTATTAACTGCAATTTGATTATTCGGTAAACTAGATCTAGAGTAAATAGAATCTAATTTTTCACTGGACTGACTGTCTTTATGACGATGATGTAATTTCCTTGTTTTTAATCGTATTGGAGGTAGTTTAAAACAGGAACAATCATGCTAAATGGAAATAATAATATGCAGAGATAGATTAAAAAATAACACTGAAGTACTAAGGATAAATTGTTTCCTTATAATGCAGATACGTTCAAATGCTTATTTATAGAAAAGGTTGCAGGGAACAGTCACTTGGAGCTTTTACCCAGTTTTAAGGTACCCACATTTTAAATAAGCAACTAATTACTTTAGATTAGCCAACCAGTTGGTACCTCTAAAATTCACACAAACTGTATAGCGTAACACCAAGCATATAATTCTATCATTGGCAAATGCACCAATTACCCTTATCGCTTTTATAATATTACTGATAACAAATGGAATATAAGTGACAAAGATGGAATGCATAGTATTTAACATCAGCTACGTTTGATAAACCAACACTGAAGACAAGTTAACATCTTAGAACTGAATATAAGCATGGATTTGGTATAAATGTGTTGTATCTTGTGATCGCCAATTAAAGAGCAGTGACTTGTCGATCGGATCAATGACGCGTAAACCCGTATGAGCAGCCTAGAGTTCTGATTGGCCCCGCTTTCCGCCTAGCCCAGTCAGTTAAGTCCAGGACACAAGTCTCAGCCTCTGCAATATGAATCATGTATTTTAAACATACTCTGTTTATATACCAATCAAGCAGACCACATCGTACCATAAAATAGAAAGTAACATTTGTACAAGATTTGGCCAAATGTGGCTGTAAACGTGAGAGGTAGTGATTAATAGACAGGGAATAATTCAAGAATGGAAAATCGTATAATAACAGTTCATAGGTTAAAATAAAGTTTATAATAAGAGAGACATGAATACGAATAGTTTAGTTATTTAACAATTATACGATAAAAATATACGCATAGTATTGGTCCATAAATAGATCCCAAAAAATTACCACTCATTATTCTTATCGGGGCACAACAAAATGCAACCACTATAAGTTCATTAGAGACTTTCAAAACTCTTCAAAATCATGTCTAGTTTGTAATTATTGAAACGTAAGGCGTGTCACAAGTGAATCTCAGATGATCGCTTGAGATACCGGAACAAAACACTTGATTAAATTATTTTGGACAGATTTATTTTACACTAAATATGTGACTAAAACGTTATTTAAATAAATATACGAATACTGGCAAAGAAGAATTTCGCGTTTAGTAAACATCTATTGCTTTTTACTTATTTCTTATAGGTTGAACATGCATGAGTATCAATTAGACGGGAGAATACAACCTATACTTTTTATTGTACATAAGAAAGAAATGACTGAAGAAAATTATTTTGAATAGCTGTAATGATGTAAGAGTTTTATTATTTGGATTGATATATGATTCAAAACAATAACCAACAACATTTGATGACTTTTGTACACCAGTCAACAAACGATCAATAAACTGGCCCCATAATAAAGGCTGCGTTTAATAAGAGCAACTGATTTGAATCAGCTATATTTCATCAATTTGACAACTCCAAGCCAACGAATGGAGTAGATAAATTATTTATCAGGAAATATTTCATTGAGCTCAAGCAAGACTGAGCTTCAATCTGAGTTTTTGAATAAGAAAGTGCTTAACTGACTTCATAGTGAAATTAAAATAGTCCTGATGACTTCTTCAACCGTTTCCTAATGTTTATAGATATCTAAACAGAATAAATTTCAAGACAATCAATAATATCTCACAGGTCAAATCATGATAATCAGCCTGTCGTTGCTTACATAAGCCTAATCGATCATTATCAACGTAAAAAATCATGTTCAAACATAACTCCAAGTACCTTTCAAAACAGATATCTCGAACAATTTAAATTGTAAAGAAGATTCGATGAACTGAAAGTCATTTAACTTATTTAATTAAACCGGAGTTCAAGGCTTCCTCAGCAGTCATTAAACATCGCTCACTCTTTAGTAGTTCAAATTCGTTTTGTCAAATCAATGGTAAAATAGATAAATATGTATATTAGTCTTCAGAACATTATTCAGTCAAATAATTTATGTGAGTAGTTAATTTATTTACGCAAACTCAGTAGGCATTAGTTAGTTGCAAATGTGTGTACATATTACTGTGTTGAAGTAAGAAATGGTTGAGCTTGATGAGCGCAATTCTCAAACACCTCAGTTAATGAAGATTGATAGCCTGATCAAATATCTTAAGCCAGCAATCTACTCTTAATTTTAGTATTCCTCATTTGGCTATCCCATAATACATAAATAAGCCTACGAAGAAATCTTTCAGCAGGAACTAATAACCTATCATAAACAGTGCAAGAACCTGGCACAAATGCATATCAGCTGAAGTTACCGGAATACATCACTGCAAAAAGGGAAAATTTTCAATTTTAATATTAGTTCAGAAGTATTATCCATGATATTCACGGAGGTCCTCTAGTTCCAAAGACCACATTTCACACTTATAATGTAAAACCCAACGTGTCGCATCTAGAAAGGCCAATAAACGATGTTATCTGCCCTACTGAAAAACTTTCTTTTAGTTATATGACTCATCATCAGTTTATACCTATGACCTCACTAAACATAGAGTCCAGACCGAACATGACTCACACAGAATAGATTATTTTTTAGATTTTTGAGTTATTGAATGCGATGGTCCGCATTTCTGAATCTATCCCAGATTTAGATTTATTTATCATCAGTCGCATAACACGACTATACATTTTACTTCAGTTTCGGACAGATAATTTTTCAAGGATTCTAACTAGTAATAAATAATCACAGAAATCAAAGAAAAAAGTCCCTCATAAAAAAACCTACCGTTGGTGCTACCAAATCATCTAGTTGTATGTGATCTATACAAGTATCACTTGTTAAAAATGACCCATTTTCTAATTGAAGAGATAATGAAGAACGTGTAGGATTCATATGACTAGCTGAAAGAAAAAAAATAAGCATAAATTATCTAGTTTATTATGTAGGAAAACTGACTATTGACATTTAAAATAAGCTGACAACTCAGCATTGAAGAACACTGTAAAAAATGATTACATATTATCAAATATTCCCATTGAGACATTAAATCGAACTTGTCTTTTAATATTACTTATTAGTAGTATTTGCATCTTGCATGTATTTCAAACTCATATATTTACATAGGAAAAATACTACTACCTGAAGAGCATTTACAAAACCGAGGCATTCATTTAGCGCAGAATGTATTACTTTATTAGGTTGATAATCTACAAGAAAACCATATACAAAATTACAGTTTCAGTTTTCAACGTCCTTAGCCAGATATCCATCGGTAACTATCAATTCGTCATTCTGACCAAGTGTATATTCAGTAAAATCGATTGATTGAAATCAAGATACCTACCGACAACCTATGAGTAGAATCCACTCCTTCAGAAAATAGTATGCGCTTATCAATGTTATAGTGTTTCTATTTTATCAAGAATCAATCCACTTTTATTGTTTCTGTATTCATTCACAACATCGGTAAGTCATACTAATTCCTACATTCGTAAACCTCCATTCATAAAAATAGAAGTGTAAATGAATGGTCACAAATACTATTTTATGTTGAGACTCAACTCATGTTATTATGTAAGTGAAATAAAAGATCGTAATATTGAATTTGTAAGTATCAGTGCCAAGATTGAACTTGGTAGTTTCAAGTAAATTAACCATTAGGTAAAGTGGTCTTGAGTGCCTGGTCCTACGTTGTAGCTGACTAACTGAACCATTGGGTAGAAATTTACTAGTAAATATGCTATTTCGAAATATAACACAAAGTATATTTGTTGTTAAATCGCAACGTGTTTGACACTTGTTAAGCTATTCAAATGTATGAAGATGAAAGAGTCTGAATTTTAGATTGGAATGAATTCTACTTGTATTTCTATGACCAGCAAATATGACAGCTAATCAAAGCCTACTAAAATGCATCACAATATATCAATCTCAATAAGTAATTATTTAGAACCGTATTAAATTGATACAAAACTGAGTAACAGATTAATAAATAACTGACTTGTAATTTATAAATGCGTCATTTTATAACATAGAGTTATAGCCTTAAAAAATGTCAGTCAGTTAGTCAGCTACAATATAGGACCAGGCACATATATGTATCGGTCCAAGTTTCCATATCTCATTAACACAACAAGTTTAACACTTGATTCATAGAAGTAGTTAATTCAATGATGGTACTATATAGAAGAAAGATTACATATAAGGTCATAGTATAGAAAGAATTAGTTCGTTGAAAGATATGAAGCGATTTTAACCTCATAGTTTAAAGGAAGACAAAGAATGTATGCACCTGCATCATCGTGATCGATCCTAAGCCATGTCACCAAGAGTCTCCAAACATTGGTTACGATAGTCACGCGGACCCCAACCAAGTCGTCTGCATCTACCAACATAGCTCAAGCTAGAAGTTAGTGACTTCAAGCACTGATGCCACGTTTCGGTTTGGCCGCCTCTGACTTTCTTCCAACCATCCCCAACACTAGTTAGCATTGCGCGTTGTGTTAATCGGTGTTCAGGCATACGTAACACTTGATCCGACCATCTCAGTCGGTGAAGATTCACAACCTAATCAACTGATTTACCATCATTCCCTAATACCGTGCGTCTAACCCCACTATTACTTACTAGGTGATCCCAGCAGGTGCAAGTAATATTTCTAAGTCATCAGTGGTTAAATTCTAGTAGCTTACGAGTATCTTCTACTCTTAATAACCATAAAATAACTGTTCATTAAGTAAGGCTTAAATTAACACATACTAACTCATGATTTTCTCATTCACAAATCTTCCAACAATCACGTACTTAATTTTTGACAGTTTATTATTATTCCCTATTGTTGATGCTCAGGGTTACGAGTGTTCTGTAAATTTGGTGTGTAGCTAGAAGCGGACTATCAAGATTCGGGTTTTATCCAACTCATGACCCATCGTCTCGGTCAACCTGCATCTCGATGTTGATATCATCACTGAGACTCGAACCCAGTAACTTTGGCTTCTTTTGACATATCCTAAATGGGTTGAAACCCTTATTTTGGATTCCACCGTTAACTATATACACATCACTATTATATTGTTCAAAATGCTTAAATTTTTAATTAATGAATTTAAAATCTCTCAAATGAATGAATACATTATCTATAAATGTAATGCGAATTTTCTGACTACATAATAAATTTCCCTTTTTGTTACTGAACAATTGGGATAAATTCTGTTGACAGTAAATTGTTTAATGATATAGAAAAAATAATTATCGATTTATATCAGAAGGGGGTTTTTTGTGAATATGATAGTAATTTTAATAATTGAGATCATGAATCAAATGAAGCTAATCCAGCAAAATTATCGACTTGTGGTTTTAATTGTATTAGTTAAGCTAGTTACTATACAAGAAAATAACCAAAATAATTTATTTTAAAAAAGTTCCCTAAGGGAAGAGGTGAAACCTAACGCTAGTAAATTATGTTTACGTTAGTTTTCTGCACAACTACTCATCTGAGTTATTTGTTATTTACTTAAAAACTAAATTTAAAGTATTAAGAAATTACTTATTATATTTTTGCGGAGAAATGATGAATGTCATTCAACAATTTTTTTTATTACGAATCGGTTTTTATAATAATTATTCTGAAATGCATATACTACTAATTATAAATGTCTATCAAACAACACATTTCATGGTTAAATAAACATAGGAATAAAAGTTTTGCTTACGAAGTTACTTTTTATACGCAATATTAAAGTTCTGATAAGGATGCAGCAATCAAAGATTAATATTATTATTGATTTTAATATGAATTTCAAAACTCTGTCTAAAAGAATCAATTTTTATTTAGAATGGTGGTTGGAGGTAGTCGACAGGAAATCTCAAACCCGGGTTTCGTGCCACTAAGTGGTTATCAGTATCATGTGTGTCAAGTCCGTATTAATGCAGATCGAATGCTATCGACCAAGTTGCAATGTGACCACTAGTCTAGGTGACTCGACATCGAATCCGTCAGGGAGCACCGGTTGCCTCAAGATATCTGGTACCCCTTGCTGACGAGCGCCAAGGGGCACGAAACCCGGGTCCAGGGTTTCTTGTCGACTACCTCCAACCACCATCTAATTTCAACATAGTGCACGCAGTGTCGAGTCACCTAGACTGATGGCCACAACATGGTCGATAGCATTCGATCTGCACTAATAAGGACTTGACACACATGACACTGATCACCACCCAGTAATCAGTCAATTGTGAGTCAATTTCTATTTACTTTACACATTTACGTCATATCAGATGATCAGTTAAATGAATTTAAAAATACAAAGTAATTTAGACAATTGGTGAAGTCATGAATAAGCACCGTTAAAAAGAGACAGCTTTCAGGACGCCTTTGTTTTCAAAATCAGTTCAACAATCTTTAAAATACCCTGTCATTTTAAACACTGAGTGATTTATCCAAAAAATTTAAAAATATTTTCTTTTGTATCAAGTTTGTGTAACAGTCAACATGGTAGATTAATTGAAGACACATCTGATCAAATATAGAAACTTCAGTGCTCGTAACGAAACGTTCCTTTTAGATCAATGATTTAGAATCTCAATTCATCTATGATAACTTCCACCTTAATATGAGTGAATTGCGTTAATTACAATTATGCTGTAGATTTTTGAGAATCTATTTTATAGATAACCACTGAATAACAAATGATTGCGGTCCTTAACGACAACCTGCTCAAACATTTGCGTCACGTATTTTCGGACTGTACAAATATTGCAACTGAGATACCGTCTTTAGATTTTTCTAGACTGGAGGGTTATGGATGCTAACTGTATATGCTAACGTGCCATTGTCAAAAGGTTACAAATTATTATAACGTTAAATACTGGAAAACTTAAACAGAAATACTACAATTATTGGTAAGTTTTCTACATGATCTATCATTTTTTTTAAATGAGAGGCGAATATATTGGAATTCAAAAGCCATGTATGTGACTGACGAAAAAATAGTTGTTGGCTGCTTAGTTCAAATGTGTGGTTTTTTACTTGTGAGCATGCAAGATGCCATATGAGATTATAGTCGAAGACGACAGTTCATTAGACTTGTATCCTATTTGTAGTAAACCGATTCAAATCGAAAACATGATCTAAGCAGTTCCAACTGTTTATAGATAAGGAACTTCTCTTTGCAGAATTGTCGATAATTCTTCTTCAGTGACGCAATGTGCTCCTCCCCTTATGTAAAGACCAGTAATAATTTCGCCATAATTGATTAATTAAATGGATTTCGATAATTTCCTGTCAAGCTTGAATTGGCCAATGCCATGATCAGTTTTCTGAAAAACTGCGTAGACAAATAAAAAAATCTAAGGTCACACCGGGAACAGATCATTGAGAAGTTTTCCTTTTGCTGATTATATTTTATACTTTTATACCATAAAACCCGATAGTATTTAATTCGTTCCGGTTTGAAAAATATAAATAAGAGCTATTGAGGAGTTTCAAAACAAAACGATATAGTTCATGGAAATTCCATGATTTTCAATAGATTTTTCTTCAGCTGACTTCAATTGATGATGAAAATCGATTCTAAATTATGCGATATTTCTACAAATTCATAATTCATTTTTCTATCAGTGACTGAAATAAATGATTAACTATTAAACTCATATTCTTATGGAAAGAAAACAATTTAATTAAATAAATAAATAAAACGTTTAAAATAACATTTTAAGCAAAGATGGATAGTGGCTAGCAGTGGAATTCAGAACGTGCGTTTCGTCCTAATTTGGACTCACCAGCTGGATGTATGTGCATCACAGAGTTGATGTTTACAAATTAAGCATTTACTTTATTATTGTTAGATTTTGTTAACAAGTCCTGTAATTTTGTGTTAAATACATTCGATTGTCCCCACTG